TATTTCTTTCACTGACAGCCAAGCAATTATAGCTGGTCTCCAGATGAGAGGCTAACTGAGTAGTGCACATGTAGATGTCACAGTTGTCCTTCACCACGTATGGCCATTAGCAGGAGTTCAACCTGTTCTGTCATTATCCTGCTGACACTGTACAACAGGTTGTAGCGCATTGGCACTGGCTTCCATATGTCAGCACATCTGTGAGCGGTCAACCCAACCAACCATCTTCAAGTCCCCTACTTTTGCCAAGGATCTTGCTTGAAGCATATTTTCAAGGAGACGAGAGTGCACATCTTTTAGTTGTCAGATTTCTGTGTATCACCATGGTTTAATTCCTTTCCCCCCCCGCCCTGATACTGGTTGGTGAGTGTAGGAGGTTTCCAGCAAATGCATTGTGTGGGTGTGAAATTCCCTCCCTCATCTTTACTGATTGTTATTTTTTGGTTTTCTTTTGTTGCTTCTCCCCAAGAACAAATCTCAATATTTTTTTTTTTCACAGAACACCAGACATTTAGAATTATATGCAACGTTCCCTGATGTGCTGTGTACATGACTGACAGATTAACTGTATGTTAAGCAGTGTTAATGATGTGATTTGTCAGTCAAAGTAAATGACTCAAACCTTACATACCATCTTTACAAGTCACTTTCCCTGCCACTTCACTTTTAAAGTGTTAGGTGTTCTATTCCCACCATCCTTGTTGCCATTAAAATTCCAGCAATTTATGTGAGGTTGGACAAGGACTTAGTATGAGCACGGAGAAGCCTAAATAGTCTTGTCCTTGTAGATGCACTATATGCTAGTAAAATGAAAGCCTAAGAGAAACAAAAAAATGCTGTGGTTGAGTGAACTTTTTCCTCCTTTCATTAAAGCTCATAAAATGGTATGGAACATGTAGGAAATTAATTTAAATCTGAATTTTCAAATTATTATTATTATGATTATTATGATTATGATTATTATAGGTTCATCAGTGGGAGGTTACACTGCAAACCACAAGCAGTAATGAATGGTGTAGGTGGGGCTTTTTTCTGTGTTTGCATCAAAGATCTAGTTCTGTGAGGTGTCCTTACTATGAGAAGTACCTCCTGTAACTGTGATGGAGTTCTTGCTTGCTTCTTTGTCAAGTCATTGTTCCTATTTTGTCCTTTTTAGTATAATGTTTCTTGCAGTGGCCCTGCTTCTGTGGCCAAAAAATAGTAATACCTCTTAGTACCAGGAACCAGGTTGTGTAAATGCAAGGAGCTACTAGTGTGCATATATTGAAGGAGACAGGCTGCATATGCTCATTGATTCTCGTTGTCTCAGCAAAACAAGAAATGTCTTGTAAATATTGATAATACTGTGACTAAATTGGAATTGAATTGATTTAAACTGGTTTAAATGAAAACGAAAGATTATTTCAGATTCCTGGCCTTTCAGTGAAAAAAAACAATGAGAAACTGATTTAGGAAACTGAAAAGTGAAAATGTTTGTTCACATTCCTGTGGGTAAATATGTTATTTATTTTTTTTTAATGTATTTTGACTATTTTATATGGTTCAAAACAAGGGCCTAGTGCTTTTCAGAGTGCATTTGGTTTTAATAATAAACTTAATTTGAAAGAAAGAATTTTATATTAATAGAAGCAAACCCCTGCATTTTTATAATACTAAACAATAATATTTTTAAGAAGCATTTTATTGCTCTTTCTTTAAAAAAAAAGAAATTATTTTTTAGGTTGACCTGCACATGCAGAGGAAAAAACCCAACCAAAGACCAAACAAACAAAATTTGCTTTAGAAAGAACGCTAAATAAACTCACCCACTCTGCTGATGCCAAGTTTTATATTGAGCCTCAACATTGAGCAGCATCATGAAATGATTTTTAATTAGGGATATTGCCAACTTTGTCTCAGAAAGTAGATACAAAGTATGAATGTGAAAGTATCATGCTTGTAAATGTGAACATGTTGCTGTGCATGTGCACGTCCAGATTTAGTCCACTTAATTTTAGACACTGACCCCAGATGCCTCATCATCTTAGATCCTTCTCCAGTTACATCCCAAAGTGCCTCCAGTGAGCAGTTCAGAACAGAGCCCCATGCACCACTGTCCTGCATGTAGCCCAGGGCTGCTGTCCCCTAACTTGGCATCTCAGTGTCTTGCCCAACATCACCTTTTCCTGTTGCAGGCACCTGGCACATCTCGTGCATCTTCTGTTGGCCTCTCATTTCTCCTATCCACGAGCACAAATATCCAAGGCAAACCTGAGCAGCCTTAGTGTATAGGTGGGAAAGAAACCTGACCTTCAGGAGCTCTAGAGCAGCAGAAGAACGTGGCTGGCCAAGATCATTGTGCCTGGAGAAAATACTGAACCATGTTTTCAGCTCAGTGCACAGGTTGGCCAGAGCACACAGTCTGAGGCTGGGAATGAAAACTGGCTCAACACATGTTTAATACAATTGAGTAAACCAGTGAGTGGTTGGTTTTTCTGGTCACTCTGCCAGTGTGATAACATTCCTGTTGGAGCTCTGCTCAGCCTGTTGTCTCTTGTGCTGGATTTTGGAAGAGGCGTGTGTGGTTACACCTGCGTGAGCTCTTCTCCGCAGCAAAGAGTCACCACAGCTGCAATTTGGTGGCTTTACTGGAGCAGATTAACTGATCCAAGACTGTAATTAAAGAGCTAAAGGGTAACCTGCCTGGAAACACAGGTATGGTTTGGCCAGTAAATTCATAGAATCATGAAGGTTGGAAAAGACCTTCAAGATCATAAAGTCCAACTATCCACCCTACAACCCCTGACCACTGAACCATCTCCTGAAACACCATGTCCACTCATTTTTTGAACACCTCCAGGGATGGTGCCTCCACCACCTCTCTGGGCAGCCTGTTCCAAGGCCTCACCTCTCTTTCTGTGAATAAATTTTTCCTAATATCCAATCGGAACCTCCCCTGGCACAACTTGACCCTGTAAGTTATAGGTAATGTGAGTAGAGAGATGTTAAAAGTGAGTATTTACACAGTCTCATTTGGAGTTGCAAGAAGCTGGAGATCCAAATTGTTCATGAGAAGCCTTCTAGCTATGGTTATCTTAATAAGGATAACACCTGAAGATCTATCCATGTATTTGTAAGCACATTTTGTAATGCCTACAAAATATGATATTTGGATTATATTTAGATGCTGTAAATAGTTTAAAAAGGTTTTCAGTAGCAATGATCGAGACTAGTGGGTGGCTGTCTTAGGAACAGGTGCAGTTACCCCCTCAGTTGGCTAAAACTTCTCTGGTGAGGTTGATGACATAGTCTGAAACACGTTTTTCCTCTTTTGGCTTGTGAGGTCCATGTGGATGCTGCTGCTGGTCTAAGAAGGCTAAAAAAGAATTGCCTTCCCAGTGCAGCCTTTGCTTTTTGTTTGTTCTGGGTAGCAAGGCATGAGGGTACAAACTCAGCCAGTGGAAGGGTCCTTCCTGCATCCTTGGGCTGCCTCACAGGCTGGTTGCTCTCTGCTGGTGCTATGGCCAGACACCACAGAGGGGACAGCTTGAAGGAGGGCATAATCTGAGGCAACACCTCAGATGTGTATTTTCTAAGGCACGTAGACCCTTTCCTTTGAGGCTGTGAATTTCCAGAGATTAAAAGTTTGGAAGTACACTGATTTATTTTTAATTTTTTATTACTTTTAAAAATTTTTATTTCCCAAGAAGAAGCTGTTGCAATTGGAGATTTAGATCTGTTTACCCTGGGTAGCCAGTATATGTCATTCTAGGAGGTGGGCTTGTAGTCCTTCAGTATCACCCCAAAATAATGACATTATTATTAATGCAGAAGCAGCACCTTTTTAGTTACAGCTGTAATGCTTTTTAGCTTGTGTGGATCTGAAAAACAGAATAAAGCCTCCTTCCTTCAGCCTTATGGTAAAAAGGAGAGCTGTGACATGTGGTTTTGCAAGAAGTTCTCACCACTCACCTCACAACAAAATCACAGCTGGAGAGCTGCAGCCTGGTGGCTTTTTCCTGCAGGCCACATCACACCCTGAGCCCAAAATGAAGTTTTGGGGATGGCCGGGGAAGTCCCCATGGGGACTGCCATGCAGGATCCAATTCTGATGGGGTTGGAGCAGGTCTGTCTGCCACCCGGGTCTTCTCCTGACCAACGAGGAAGGGCTGGTGAGGGAAGTTAAGCTCAAGGGCAGCCTAGGTTGTAGTGACCACAAAATGGTGGAGTTCAAGATCCTTAGGGCAGCAAGGAGGGCTCACAGCAAGCTTACTACCCTTGACTTCAGAAGGGCAGACTTCAGCCTCTTCAGGGATCTGCTCCAGTGAGTGTCTTGGGATAACATCCTGCAGGGGCCCATGTAAGGTGGCTGATACTTAAGGATCATCTTCTCCAGGCCCAAGAGCATTGCATCCCAACTGAGAGGAAGTCAAGTAGAAACTCCAAGAGGCTGGCAGGGATGACTAAGCAGCACCTAGAAAAGCTCAGGCTGAAGAAGGAAGCAAACAGGGGGTGGAAGCTGGGGCAGGTATCCTGAGAGGATTACAGAGAGGTTGTCTGAGCAGTCAGGGATCAGGTTGGGAGAGCCAAATCCCTGCTAGAATTAAATCTTGCCAGGGATGTTAAGAACAATAAGGAAAGCTTCTTTAGGTATGTTGGGGAGAAAAGGACATCCAAGGAGAGTGTAGGCCCTCTCCTGAAGGAAAAGAGTGAGGTAGCAACACAGGATACTGAGAAGGCTGAGGTCCTCAATGACTTCTTGGCTTCAATCTTCTCTGGCAAGTGCTCCAACCTCAACACAAAGGCCACAGAAGGTGAAAGCAGGGACTGGGAGAATGAATTACTCCCCTCCGTAGGTGTAGAGCAGGTTTGTGACCATTTAAAGAACCTGAGGGTGCCTCATCAGGTCCAGCAGGGATTGCACCCCTTCAGAATTCTGGCATCCAGCAAGAATCTCATGAATACTCTCTCGTTAAGATCCTCCCAATGTAAACTCAGATTTCCTTACTGCTTCTTCCTAGGGCTCCTCGATTTAAGGGGTTCCAGCAGCAGGACAGCCAGGAGCTTCTGCACTATCTGTTGGATGCAATGAGGATTGAAGAAACAAAGGTAATGTCTTTGGGCATGTTTTTAAACAACTTATTTGGTAATTACTAGGCCTTTCTTTGATGTTCTTTGTGTTCCCAGTGTTTTAAAGATGTGCTTATTGGAGCAGGAGTGGCCATTTTTGTTATCTTATAATGAGTTTTTGAAAGAGAATTGGATTATATTCATCTTGGCATGTTAAGATTGCTGATTGGAATCAAAGTTTCAGTTTCCCCTCCCACCCCAGGTGGACAGTTGGACTTGATGTTCTTAGAGGTCTTTTCCAACCATGATAATTCTGTGATTCTGTAAGTAGATCATGATAACTAGGAATCTGAATTGTTTGCCTTTATATAAAAAAAAAAAAAAAGGACAAAAAAAGGACTTCTGAGGAGTCAAGAGAGTAGAAGTTAGAACCTCTGATGTAGGTGACAAAGTGCACTTTAAAGCTTTGGAACAGAAATTTGCAGCTCCAAACTGTGGCCCTGCTCATAATTTGAATTTAAATCTAGTTCAATCAATAAAAAAAAACAAGGACAAAAATAAAACCTTGCAAAGTTTCTTGTGTATTTTTAAAGTATAAAGAAGTACTTGTTTTATAAGTAAAGTGATGCTTTTCATTATTTAAAATCTATACCTCAGCATGCTGAGTATATAACCAATTACATTAGAAATGTCCCTGTGTGGTTTTGCTCATATCTCTTTTCCTTTGCTCTCTCTGCCTCCTGCATTGTTGAATACAAGAAGGTGTGTGTTTGCTTGCATGAACTATTTTGGTGGTATAAGATTTCATCTGCCTGACTATTTTGGTACAACAGGCTTTTCTAAGTCTCATCAGAAGGAGGTCCCCAAATCTTGTACTGACCAGATACTTCCTCTTCCCCCCCATTTAGTGATTTGATGAATGTCATGATCCTGAGCTGAATTATCTTGGAGATGAGGTATCAATTTGTATCTTCACCAATTCCTGGCACTGGGGTAGCACTGAACAAATCCCCATCCTACCAAAATATTAGTATATAAATTGATCTTGTCAGCAGAGCAATTGATCAGCAGCTGAACTGAACTACAGGGAGAAGCAGCTAAACCTTGACTTTGTCATGCTTACAAAATGAGGCGTTGCACAGGGCATGCAACAGAAGCAGCTTCCCTAACAGCAGTTGCTGTGGTTTTGCAGTAGAGGAAGACACTATTTTGTTGCTTGTTGATTTTCATGTAATAAAACTATATTTGCTTCACAAATGAGGATTCAGCAAACTCAGGAAGGATTATTGCAACAACTCAGCAGCTTCTCCAGTGGGCGATTGTGCTTTCTCCTCAAGTTGATCTATTGTTTCACCAGTGAGGTGCTGACATTATAACCTGCATTTGCCTGTTGAGTCATTTATGATTAAGAGTGGTGACAGCTATAGTTGCTACCACAAAAGAGTCATAGAACATGGTGAGAATGTGAAGTGACCTCTTGGACAGTATTTTTGCTGCCCCCATCACAAGGCAGGGGGGTTGATCCCACCTCGCCCTGCATTGACACCCCTCTGCTGCCCTCGTGGTCCATTACTGCAAATACATTTCTATCACCTCGGGCTCTTTCTTTTTAATTTGTTTTTATTTTTTTAATTTGCTTATCCTGTGCTTAGGGTGTGTGGGTGGTGTGACAAGCAGCAAACGTCAGGCCCCATGGCCTCCCCACCAGGCGGGCTGTGGCTGGGGACAACCTGCCTGCAGCAACGTGTCTGCCACCAGAATCCTGTAGCAGGGCTTACAGCACTGACCTTTCTCTTCCACGCTGCTTTTAAACTTCACTCTGGGAAGAGGGAACAGCCCTGCTGAAAGGGCTGCTGGCTGCTTTGCCATCCACCTGCAAGAGAGCTGGACGTGGCCATCCCCACCTCCCTGTCCCTGCTGGGGTTAATTGTTTGTAAAACCCAAGAGCTTTGCTGAGAATACTTATGAGATGTAAAAAAGGAGCTAACAGAAAATGACATTACACTTCTGTCTTTTGTATCCAACACCAGCATTGAACTTCTTCCTAATCCTGTTAAAAAAAAATGAGGAAGTGAGTGTTTACACCAGTGGATTTTAAGATAAAAGCTTGTCAATACTACAATAAAGATGACATAGTGTCTGCCATTTCCAGCAATGTGGGCTGGAGATGGTTTCACACCCAGGCCTGAAGTGGCTGAACCCTGCTGCTAATTGATTAATGTCTGCTGCCATTGTCCACAGCACCCTGCCCATTCAAAGACTGTGTCTTTCTTTGACCTAAATAAATGGTTCAACGCGCTAATCTCAACAAAAGGGTTGCTTATGGCCCTAGACCCATTTATGGTGCTCAACTTCATGAATTACCTATTGATTAGGCCTTTTAGTATATTGTTGGCTTTAAGATGAACAAAGCAGAGCTCGGGGCAGCGGGAGTTAATTCACAAGCCAGGTCACATACTCGTAAGGTAGGAGTGTGACTTCGGCTGATGGGTGCCTGAACTGGAAACCCAAACTCCAAGGCTGTCATCATAACACTTCTGTAATCTGGGGCTTGAAAGTGTTATTTGCTGCCTGCAAACAAGAGTTGTTTCTTGTTCTGTTTATAGAATGGTTATGGTTGGAAGGGACTTTAAAGATCATCAGGTCCGACTTCCCTGGTATGAGCAGGGACACCTCCCACCAGACCAGGCTGCACAAGCCTCATCCAGCCTGGTCTTAAACACCTTAAACAGGGAGGCTGTGGATGCCCCCTCCCTGGACAACCTATTCCAGTGTCTTGGTACCCTCATGGTGAAGAATTTCTTCCTGATGTCTACTTGCAGAAGGCTTGGTATCACTTGTCTCTAGAATGGAACTTTGCTCTATGTGTGACTTCGGTGACACATGTCATTGTAAATGTCACTTGCACACTGACCTGAGAGTCTCATACATGGAACTAGAGCTTGTGGACATCTGCCAGGAAAAAGGGGCAACACAGTTCATGCAGGCTGTATTGTTCCGTGGCCCCCTGCAGCCTCCAGCTTCCCTCTCCATAGCATGACAAAGGTTGGGCTGAGCCACGTTTTGTACCAGCCTGGGCAGTTCCCCTGCCAGGGTATGTCTCTTGGGAATACAACATCTCCTTATCCCAGGACAGCTGAGAAATGGAGGGGAAGGACCCCCATTTTGAGATGCATCTACAGCTCAACTCTATCAATGTCCTTTCTGATTCTTCTTTCAGTAGTGTAGTTCTTAGGATTTTTTGAGCAGATGTGGAGTTTGTAGAGATTCATAGAAAGTTTTGTATCTCTCCTGAGGTTTTCTATCATAACTTCCAAATGTGCAGTGTTAGAAAGTAAACGGAAGTAATAATGCCACCCAAACACAGTCACTGAAGTCTAGCTCTTGAAAGATACTTGTCTGCCTTTAAGTATTTTGTATCCTGGTCAGTCAGTAATTGTCAGTTTTGCTTCAGCATTTCTCCTTCCCAAACAGTGGAAGAAACAGGAAAGTGTTTGTTCCCTGAAAATCTTGTGGTTTCATGATAAACTCCAGCTCTCTATGTTGTCTTCCTCTTTAAGGGGAGGAAGTTTATGTATGGTTACCTCCTCCAGTTAAGTTCATGTAGCTTTGCCACTGTTAGTGAACAACAACAGTTTTAAAATATTAAATTATGCTTATTTTATGGAAATAAGAATAGATAAAATCGAATATGTCACTAGTTTTTAGAATGTTTTCACTTAAAATACTTGTTAAATGTCTCATTTGTTTTTTCTTTTAATTCTAGCGTATACAAACTGGTATCTTAAAAGCATTTAATAATCCAACTACTAAGACAGCAGATGAAGAAACCAGAAGAAAAGTCAAAGGTATGCAACTCCTTATTGAATACTTTAAAAAATGCACAAGTTTTTAAATACCACTTGCTTCAAAACTGACTATTGCAAGCAGCAATCCCCAAGTACTGTTGTAACAAGACTTTTATCATGTGTTATTCTGGTGCCACCTAGTGTGTGTCAAGGGGAGACAGAGTTTAGCATGTGCTGACATGTCTCTTTGTAGCCAGGATTAAGTATTTATAATGCCTCTTGTAATCATGGGTAGAATTTAGTTTTGTTTTCTAAAATAGTGTGTTGCATCTTCAAGGTTTGTTATCTAGCCACAGTTATTCTATCACTCAGAGAGGCCACTTTCCAGAAATAAAACTGGTTTCTGTCTGCTCACGGGTACTATGAGCACTCTAAATAGCATGACAAAGCCAAGATAGGAAGCTGTTTGAAAAGGCATGTTTATTCAGAACAAGATGTTTAAAATTAATTTGTGTGTGTGTGTTTCTGCAAAAGTTCTAATTTTGTTTTAATGAAAGTCTTAATAATTATGAAGCTGTTTTGAAAGTTACCCTTCCCAAATCTGCAACAGTTACTGCAAAGAGACAAATTAGAACAGGCATTTGTCTCATCTTTTACAGTTTTGTAGTTTCAAATACCATTTAGAAGGGGTCACAACTTGTCTGCTACTCTAGTGTCTATATCAAGGCAGCCCAATATTATGTATTCAAAAGAGAGATTTTATTTTGAAAGTTTCTTCTTGAGAGATACAGTATTATTCTTTACAGTAGGTGGGGAAGGATAAAAGGGATTTGTATCACTAAAATGTTTTAAAATATTGAGATAATACAGTGTATGATGTATTAGTTACTGTATTGTGTTCAAAATGTTTTGAATGTGTTTTAAATTGTGCTTTTGCAATAAATCTTGGAAAGAATTGTGTTGTGCTTATAGTGTGGCATTGGATCTGTTATTTTTCACATTTAAAAAAGGCAATGTTTTTTCAGCATATGGAAGAGAGGGTGTGAAGATGAACTTCATAGATAGGATCTTTGTTGGTGAATTGACTAGCACTGTCATGTGTGAGGAATGTGAAAATGTAGGTATTCTGGAATTTGGTTTGATGTGGAATAGATCACATACTGGTTTGATGACATTGTCTTGAAAGTATAAAATTGTATTGCCAATTTTATACTTGTTTGTTTGTTTGTATAAACAAGACTATTGAAAATTTCTCATTTAAAATTAGTTATTCCTTTTTTAAAGCATTATCCTCCCAAACCTAAGAATGGGTGGGTCTTTGGAATTCAAAAAGAATTCAAGTACTGGGCTTGATTTTACATCTGACTTAAGGCTGGAGGTTCCAAATTCTGTAAGCAGCCATGTTACACCCCAATCTTATTTGGTATTTTTAAAACACCTACCTATCTTAAAACTTAAATCCTCCTGCCTGCTCTTCTGGGATATACCTGAAAATTGGGAATTACTTATTTTGAATTAGTATGAGTGGTGGGATATACCTGAAATTTGGTGATTACTTATTTTGAATTAGTATGAGTGGGGAAATGCTAAAAAATACTTTTTCTTTTCCTTGGAATATTTTTTTTATAATTAATGTAATAACTCTAATAAACAGCATCATGCTTTCATAATTAATATTACTGACATTTCATCATAAATGCTTTCCATGATCCTTACAATTTTCTTTAACTTCGGAAGAGAAAAATTTTGCATGACTTTTCTAGTTGAATGTTACATCCGTGTCTCATTTAAAACATTGTATTTCATATTATAGAGATTAAGTAAATCAATCACTCTGAATAATTAAGCACAGCCCTGCAGTGCCAGGTGAACTTCCCCATGTGTGATGTGCACTTTAAAATGCTACTGGTACCAATGAAGAACTTTGACTATATACAGAATAGAGGTTGTATGTATTTTGTGTGGCTAATTTGTTTTTTGCTAGATTCTTCTATTCTGCCTGCAGAGGACTCAGGAATTTACCACCTGTAGCTCTCTGAGGAAGAGTTCAGTGTGTGCTTTCCTTTGCCTGCATCAGCAAAGATATTTTTTGGCTCATGTTTGTTCATGCAGACTCACACTTTAGAGGACCCTCTGTTTGAACATGGCTCGTCAGGCAGTCAGTCATGATAGTTACAATGATTGTCATCTCTTTGATTGCTTTACTGGAACTTAAACCATGCTGAGTCCCTTGCACAGCAGGTAAAAATAAGCCAGTAAATCCCTATCAAATGTCAGGGGTGAAAGACAGGGTCACAAATCTAAGAGAAGGGCAATGAGGACAGTAATTCAGGCCATGGCTCCCTTCAGTAACTTAAATGTACATGATTTATTTTTTTTTTCATGATTATTTTTTTTAAGGCCTTGTTTTTCACAGTCTTTCCAGAGATGAAGTCAGTTCTGGAAAGGATTTTATAACACCAAGGGAGGCAGCTTAAGGAGCAGGCTTGGATAAGATGTTCTAGTCATAAAGGCAGGGAAAGTGCTGAGAGAGAATGTCCTTAGATATATGATTTGTCAGATATGTCCAGTTTCAGCTCAGCCATTTGATGTGGCTTAGAGATGGCAAAATAACACTTCAGTACAGAAAAGAAGGTTGGGGTTTTTTTTCAGTCCCCTTTTCCCCAGTAATTGGATTTCTTTTAATAATAACTACTATATATTATGGTGTGAAAATTTTTAATAAAGCTTTTGGCTGTAACCAGGAAGCCTGACTTAACCTTTTCTGAGAAATCAGGTTAAGAACCTGTCATGCAACTGTCATTAGCCAGTCCTTGCTGCTTAACAGTCTTACAAGGTCAAATGCCTGTGCAGAAGTGTCCAGGGTCAGGAAACCCTACAAATTACCTCTCTGCAGAATTGTGCCATCCAGAAGGCCCACGACTTGAAAATCTGGAGCTTAGAGAAACTGAGCACCACACTTGCTTGTAGGTCCATTTTATGCCCAGATGAATGGCCTGACCCTTGAGTCAGCTGAAATTTTGGGCAGGTTGAAAAAGAATATCAGAGCTACCTTAAAAAAAATAAATAAATTTGTGGGAAGTTCTTCATTGTAGTTTGATACATCTTGTGACTAAACAGCTTTTTGTGTAGTTTCTAAGAATAATTTGATTTTTAAAAGGGAGCTGTGTGCTAACCCCATATATTGTTCTTTATGTTTAATTGGCATTTTCTCTTTTTCTTCAAGATTTCGACAGTAAAAGAACCTTTCATTGATCTTTCACTTCCTATAATAGAGGAGAGGGTAAGAAACAGAGTATGTAATAAATAACTGCTTCCAGTGAATTCTTTTTACATACCTTTATGAAGGTGTTTATGGATATACACAGTTTTGATTTCAAGCCTTAAAATATATGCTTCTCCATAAATACATGGACTGCCATATAAGTTTATTATATGTAGGTACACATCCAATGTCATAAATGCATAGATTCTTAAATTAGTTCAGATTTGGAACGTTGTAATTGTGTAGGTCTGAGATTACTTAAATTCAGTACTGTTTTTAGTAGATACTTACATGAATAAAATGATTATAACCTTTTCTTAAGGTCCAGAAAGTTAGATTCTATCTTACTGGGTTTGCATCTAGGGACCCTGGGTCCTTGGGCTGAAGGGGACCTCTGGGATCAGACAGTGTAAACACTGATAGATTTTTTAATACATGAAAGACAGGGTCACAAATCTAAGAGAAGGGCAATGAGGACAGTAATTCAGGCCATGGCTCCCTTCAGTAACTTAAATGTACAACATGATTTTTTTTTTTTTTCATGATTATTTTTTTTTAAGGCCTTGTTTTTCACAGTCTTTCCAGAGATGAAGTCAGTTCTGGAAAGGATTTTATAACACCAAGGGAGGCAGCTTAAGGAGCAGGCTTGGATAAGATGTTCTAGTCATAAAGGCAGGGAAAGTGCTGAGAGAGAATGTCCTTAGATATATGATTTGTCAGATATGTCCAGTTTCAGCTCAGCCATTTGATGTGGCTTAGAGATGGCAAAATAACACTTCAGTACAGAAAAGAAGGTTGGGGTTTTTTTTCAGTCCCCTTTTCCCCAGTAATTGGATTTCTTTTAATAATAACTACTATATATTATGGTGTGAAAATTTTTAATAAAGCTTTTGGCTGTAACCAGGAAGCCTGACTTAACCTTTTCTGAGAAATCAGGTTAAGAACCTGTCATGCAACTGTCATTAGCCAGTCCTTGCTGCTTAACAGTCTTACAAGGTCAAATGCCTGTGCAGAAGTGTCCAGGGTCAGGAAACCCTACAAATTACCTCTCTGCAGAATTGTGCCATCTAGAAGGCCCACATGACTTGAAAATCTGGAGCTCAGAGAAACTGAGCACCACACTTGCTTGTAGGTCCATTTTATGCCCAGATGAATGGCCTGACCCTTGAGTCAGCTGAAATTTTGGGCAGGTTGAAAAAGAATATCAGAGCTACCTTAAAAAAAATAAATAAATTTGTGGGAAGTTCTTCATTGTAGTTTGATACATCTTGTGACTAAATAGCTTTTTGTGTAGTTTCTAAGAATAATTTGATTTTTAAAAGGGAGCTGTGTGCTAACCCCATATATTGTTCTTTATGTTTAATTGGCATTTTCTCTTTTTCTTCAAGATTTCGACAGTAAAAGAACCTTTCATTGATCTTTCACTTCCTATAATAGAGGAGAGGGTAAGAAACAGAGTATGTAATAAATAACTGCTTCCAGTGAATTCTTTTTACATACCTTTATGAAGGTGTTTATGGATATACACAGTTTTGATTTCAAGCCTTAAAATATATGCTTCTCCATAAATACATGGACTGCCATATAAGTTTATTATATGTAGGTACACATCCAATGTCATAAATGCATAGATTCTTAAATTAGTTCAGATTTGGAACGTTGTAATTGTGTAGGTCTGAGATTACTTAAATTCAGTACTGTTTTTAGTAGATACTTACATGAATAAAATGATTATAACCTTTTCTTAAGGTCCAGAAAGTTAGATTCTATCTTACTGGGTTTGCATCTAGGGACCCTGGGTCCTTGGGCTGAAGGGGACCTCTGGGATCAGACAGTGTAAACACTGATAGATTTTTTAATACATTTATACTGGTGTTTTCAGCATTTCATAGAATGCCTCCATCAGCTGCAGAGGAATTGTGTTCCTCTGAAGGCATCTGCTCTGGTTTTGCAGGACTTGGGGTTTTTAATTGAGAAGAGCAGGGGTGGGTTGGGGGTGGTTCTTCCCCCATGCTACATATTTTCACATATATGTAAGGCAGAGTATTTAATAGAATCATGGAATCATAGCATGGTTTGGGTTGGAAGGGACCTTAAAGATCATCTAGTTCCAACTCCCCTGCATGGGCAGGGACACCTCCCACCAGACCAGGTTGCTCAGAGTCCCATCCAACATGCCCTTCAACACTTCCAGGGATTGCACTTCCACAACTTCCCTGGGCAACCTGTTCCAGTGTCTCACTGCCCTCACAGGAAAGAATTTCTTCCTGATGTCTCACCTAAATCTCCGTTCTTCCAGTTTAAAACCATTATCCCTTGTCCTCTCACTCCCTGCCCTTGTCAAAAGTCCTTCCCCAGCTTTCCTGAAGTCCCTTCAGGCACTGGAAGGTGCTATAAGGTCTCCCTGGAGCCTTCTCCTTTCCAGGCTGAACAGCCCCAACTCTCTCAGCCTGTCTTCAGAGCAGAGCTGCTTCAGCCCTTGAATCATCTTTGTGGCCCTTCTCTGGACTTGCTCCAGATATTTAATCCTGTATAAAATGTACTTGTCTCCAAAAACCAGTTTTGCTCATAATAAATTCTTCATCTTTGTCACTGCATGGAGTCCAGACAGCTGTGGGAATTTAAGAACATTTGGAGTTATTTGGGCCCCTGTGCTATGTGGGTCAGATGTGTGACATGGGAACTTCATGGCTTCTGTTTGAGAGATCCGGCTTTTAGCAATTGCTGCACTTACTTGAGGACATGCATGACTTTATGGTTGTCTCTTTTATAGTCCAGAGATGCTGCTGCTGTTAATGTGATGGGGCACGTGCAGCAGCTCATTCAGCACATTATAAGGTGGTAGGCTGCACCAGAGACTGACTTGTGGACACCTGTGTCCCCTCTGATCAATTCACATCTTATACATGTCCTCCTATAGTATTAGAATAGATTATTTGGTATATTTTCTGCACAGGGATTTTGTATCATTCCTGTTTCTTGTGGCTCTCAGTTGATCCTTCAAAGATGTTGATGGTGTGTTAAATGATAAATAAAAAGAGAAAGAAGTCTTAGACCCAATTCAGGGGGCAGTTCATTGGATTTCTATAGGTTACTATTTTGAAAAATAAAGGGAAAAATCCCACCTCCATTCATTTTTTCTGTAGGTTGCAAAGGAATACAAAATTGGTGTGTTTCCTTTCCTAATTTCATGTCTAATTTTCTAGGTTGCAAAACCTGTGCCTTTGGGAAGAACAGCCAAAGGTAAAAGTGTACAAGAGGCAGATCTTGGTCAGTATAGCTGTTCTTCTATCACTGCACTGAATAATCAACCTAAAATTGTCAAGAAACACACTTTAACAAAAGATAAGGTAAGAACTTAAATACTAGCCCATCTTGAGTTTCTAGACTTCCAGGGGTGGAAATTTTGACCCCTATCAATGGGGGTTTTTTGTATAGACATAACTGACATAGACTTGGTGAAAATATTTACGTCATCATTCTTTAGTCTTAAAAAAATTATGTATTTTCAGTGTAATCCATCTGCAATAAAACTTCTAATCCAGAACAACTGTTGAATTCAGTCAGGTTTGTAAGTTTGCTTGTTTAAAAATGGGGGGCTGTCCCATCATTTTGTAGGCAACTCCTGGTCAGGCTTTTCTCCTGAAATGGGAGCTTCACAACTTTAATCATTTTTTTGCCTGCTATTTGCATAATACTCCTGGACATGAGCAGTAATTTCAGACAAGTTACTCTCCCTCATCTCTGTTTATAAAGCAAGGAAGCTTAACTGAGACAAGAAATTATCGAAATGAAAAAGGTTTTGAGGTTTCTAGTGATTATCATTGATATTTTATTTTTTTTTTTTTCCAAACTGTTGACTTGCTTGTAAGTTTAAGGCCTGGAAAGAAAAGAATACTTATATATCACTTAAAATCATGGCAGCTTCAAGTTGTGTTTTTTTTTTTAAAATCTATAGTAGTAGTTTTCTGTGGCATTGATATTTTTTTTTTCTTGCAATCTTGATAAAATAAAAGATATCAGCTTCAGATAATTTACAAATTAGCAAATTACGAATAGGACTAGGGATGCTTTAATTAGTTTGAAGACAAATGCCTACAAGGTGAGTTGAATTTTCTTCCAGGGCTGCTCATCAGCTGCTCCCTCTGATGGAAGGCAAGGGGACTAGATTAAGTTTGAGATCCTTTTAGAAGCTTAAGTTAGATTAAGTGAAAACCCCTTGAAATGTGCCATCCACAGCTGTCACAAAGTGAGTGTAACTAGTTGTGGGAAGTACTGATCTCACAGTAAGTGTAATGCTCTTAGATGGTTGCACTGTAGGTTTCTAATCCCAAATTGGTTTAAAAAGATCTTAAGGAGCTCAAGTATCTTTAAACATGTGAGAGATGGTAAATAGAAAATAATAGGTTTCATTTGGATGGAATGTGTCATGTTTCAAAAGCTGTGTTAAATGGCAGATGGTTTTCTGTTTCCCCCCTCTGTGACTGAAACAATAATGCTCCAATCACACAGAACCAACTGAACCAGGAGAGGCGCCTTGCCAGAACAGCTTCCTCCAATGAAGAAGAAAGAAGTCCTGTTATCATGCAGGAAAAAACCAAAAAGCTTGAGGTGGAAGGTAGCTCTGGTGTCCTGTACTCCAGAGACCCAACTGCAGATCCTGCTGTCACGGGCAGTCAGACTGAGGGCAGTGAGAAGGAAGCCAGTCGCTCCGAGAGCAGCTTTGATGCGGACAGTGAAGCCTCGGAAAGCGAAAGCGCTTCTAAGCAGACAGATTTCAGCCCCTCCAGCAAGGTGTCTGGTGTCAGCACCAACCACCTCAACGTTAGGAAGCCCAGTGACAGCAACGATGAGGTGATCTCCACTGCCATGTCCAAGCTCAGCTTCTGTGATACTAAAAACGAAGAGAAAAAGTCGAGCCGTGGGGATCCCACAGTAGGTTTATCAAATAATTCCACGTTCTCTGTCGACAAATCCTCACTCTCCCAGAATCCTCAAAATGCTTTTCAGACACTTTCCCAAAGCTACATAACTAGCTCGAAGGAATGTTCTGTTCAGTCCTGCCTTTATCAGTTCACCTCTGTAGAGCTCCTCATGGGCAACAACAAGCTTCTGTGTGAGAGCTGCACAGAGAGGAAACAGAAGTATCAGAAGAAAACCAACTCCACAGGTAAAGTGCTTTATCCCTCTGAGTACACAAAATTGCCTCAAAACCTGTGCACTAGCTGCTGTTTTCGTTGCTCCAGCATGGGCCTCCCCCTCGTGGCTAAACAGAAAATGTCTCCCCAAGCAGAATTTGCTTTTAACACCTTTAAACTTCATCCTGTGAAGGCAACAATATTATGCGTCAGATTAGAACACAGTCAGAGGTGTCATTTAGAATTTGTTTTGCATCTTTTATCTGACAGATAATTCAAAGATGACTGTAAACTGAATAGGCTCATCATGTCATACTAGTCTTTGCTGCTGTTTCTGTTCTTTACAATCCTAGCTTTGATGTAATTGCTGCGTTATTCAGCTCTAGCAACGTACGTACTCAGGGAAGTAATGGAATCAGGTATTTAAGGGGGGCAAAAAAAGACACTTGTCATGAAAAGGGAAAAAAAACCTGACAAAGCTTTGTAAGAATGGGGATGAGAGAACTACCTTCTTCTGACAATGTTTTCCTCAATGTTTGTATGGTCCAAGCATACCATTAGGGTTCACTGAGTAAGAAAATCAGTTTAAATATAATGAAAAATAAACTTCTAAAACAGACTGGAGGATTATTTTTTTTTTCAAGTATAGTAGTAATTCAGAGGATAAAAATTTATGCTTTTCTGATTGTTTGTAGAGAAAATACAAAGGGATGTCTTACATTAACAAAAAATGCCCATTTTCTGTGCATTTATAGATATCTGCAGAGATACAAGCTAAGCATGAATAAATTCAGAAAAACTAATCTAAAAGTAGTATTTTATACTCATCCATTTATCATTATTGGACTGTGCTACATAAGTAGCATGTTCTGTGGGCACAGTGAGAAATGGAAAACTATTTCACAACTCATAATGACTTTTTCCTTCTAAAACAAAAGATCTAAGAAGTCACCTACTTCTACACAAAATGCTTCATTCTACCTCAAAAGAAATGTTCCTTTGGATGTGTAAAATCAGTAAATTACTTATTCAGCCAAAAAAAAAAAGAATCCTGGTAGCATGGTCCCTTTTACTGTACAGCTAACCCTTGAGCTGCTTTTGGTAGGAGCCTTGGGTTCAGCTCCCTCTGCACCAAAGCAGGATTGGTCCACCTTTCCCAATCCCATGTGCTCAAGCCAGCAGGTTATGAGGCATCCTTAAATAAGTAGTTAGTCAGAAGGAACAGAGGAATGGAAGATTAATCTCTGTCTTAGAGGTCAGCACATTAGCATAGATAAAAAGACCTCTGCCTTCCATTTCTTGTCCCAGTGATCATCCATTTCTTTCAGGTGAAATAGTTTTCACAGGAAAGTTGGGTGCTATAGTAACAGGCAATGTAGGAATCTCAGTGTGCAGGCTGACCTAGATAGTGTAGATGCTTCCAACTTTTGATCCTGATTTGCAGAGGACAGGCTAAAATGATGCTCAGAGTTGGCAGATTATATTTATTAGAAACTAGTAAAATGAGAGAATGTTTTCCTGTTACTCCACAAAATTTTCCTTCCATTTCATGTAACATGTACAAAATCACTGCTACCCAGATCTGCTCTGTCAGATGTTTAAGAAATATTGAAATTCTGTGTGACTGCCTTCACTTCACCATTTATTTTGATATTCATAAATACAGACAAAAAAATGGAAGGTGTCTACACAAATGCTCGGAAACAGCTGCTGATTTCTTCTGTTCCTGCTGTTCTTATTCTCCATCTGAAAAGATTCCACCAGGTAAATCCCAAAACCCTCTTGTATATTCCCCCTCCTCACTAGCAGAGGCAGTTCTTCCAGTTCATTGTGCATACCAGTACTTGGGTTTTATAGGGAGAACTGGTAGAACCACTATTTGAAACATGCTTATGGTTTCTTGACTAATCCCTTCAGCCAGTGTCCAGGGAATCCTTACAGGTGTCCATCATGCTCATGTGCAGCAGGCACTGCATTGAAAACATAGCAAAGAATGGTTAAATCAGTTACAATATTATTCTTGGGTTTGGTTTATTTTAATAATATAGCAATACACCCTAGCTTTGGAAAGCTTCCTAGGAAGAATATTTATCTTACAGTCTTTTTTTCCCCTTCTCTTTTGAAGGCTGGTTTGAGTCTACGGAAAGTCAACAGGCATGTGGATTTCCCACTGATTTTAGACTTAGCACCATTTTGTTCTGCATCTTGTAAGGTACACATTTCAAACCTTTCATTTTGATTGTACTTCAGCAGTTGTTGTCCTCAGCACCAGTTACACTGTTCCTTCCTTTCCTAAAGAAATTATAGAGTGAATGTTTCCAAATAGTATCCCAAGATCAGAGTCCTAACTAACTGGAATTCCATTCAGATCAAGAATATCACTGATGTTAATTAGCACTAGCTAAGCCGTGGTGCCCTGCTGGTATCTGAACAGCATTAAGGAGAAATACTGCTGCTTCCATGGTAACTAAATTCAATTAATAGACTCTTTAGTATTTTTAATAGATGCATTTCACCACTGGAATTGCTGGAGGTGTCTGCTTCTTTTGAAGTAATACAGTTGAAAGCTAGTTATCTGTAAAATATGAATGTAAATGTAAAATATAAATGTAAAATTATTTATGTTTGTTTTCTGTGTTTTTGGGAATGCAGAATGTTACAGATGGTGCAAGAGTGTTATACAGCCTCTATGGAATAGTGGAGCACAGTGGGTCCATGAGAGGTGGTCATTATGCAGCATATGTGAAAGTCAGGACACCTTCCAAGAAATTACTAGAGCATATTTCTACCACTAAAAATGTTCTAGGTATGTACAAACAGTGCCTCCTTTCTCTGTGAGTAAAACCAAAAGCAACCACTGGCTACAGCTCTTTACCCTTAAGGGGATTTATAACAAATAATTATTTTAGCTCAGAACATTCTGTTATTTTTAGGGCCACATAAATAAATTCTTTCTTTTTTTTTTTTTTTTTTCCTGTTCCACCCAGTACATTTAACCCCACATAAAGCTGAGTGAATAATGGAATATTGGTTCAGTTTTTCAACAGAGAATCAATGGAAAACTTTTATATCTTTCCTAGTAAAAAATACTATGTCCAGATGAATTGTTGTGCCCTGTAAAATGTAATTATTCGGCATTTTTGGTATTTGAAATTGTCCTAGTGCAAGAGCCAAATCCATGACAATTTAAATCAAATTTTCCATCTGTTTGAGCATTTTATCTTTCTTAGGATTGGAAATTTTTCATGCATAAAAATCTGGAATATTGTGGTTTAATGTGAAGAGCAATAAACATTTTAGTGGAGGATACAAGGTTTCTGCTGGTAGCTTGAGAACAGCATTCTAGTTCTTATACACTATGCAGAATGGAATAAAAATCTGGCATAGAATCTGCTAGTGAATGAATGATTTGTGGAGGCAAGAAAGATGAGCTGTCAGAGTAAGGGAGACATATTCACTGCTCCCTTTCATGAGGGGAGTGAGAACCAAGCTCTATCCTGTGTATTTTTTGCACTTCAAGCTCATTTCCCAGCAGGACAATTTTTATTGAAGCAGAAGGCTCCCTCAGTTTTATGCTTTTCCTTGCAATGATTGTTAGAACAGAGGGAATCTTGTTGTGGTCTTAATTTCACACTAGTCAGCTGTTGAAATACTTGTTTTCTTTATGTCAGAACATACCTGACTGTTAGAACTCAGTAAGCTGTGCCTGAAATGTCTTAGGCTTTTTCAAGAAATATGGGAAAGGTGATGGCAGTGTATATTTGTAAGTCTTATCTTCCACCAGTTTTTCTTGAAGAAACATCTTCTCCTTTTCCATTTCAGGTTTAAAAGAAGCCATGGGAGCATCAGGAGGACAGTGGGTATATGTCAGTGATGCCCATGTTCAGATGGTTCCAGAATCAAGAGTACTCAATGCACAAGCATATCTACTTTTTTATGAAAGATTATTCCTATAAATCTCAACAGTTTAATTTCAAAGATGGTAGTGGCTATTTAGTTTATCTTTCATAAAGCTGCAGTGGTAAGAGTACCTGTAAATATTGTGCCTTTATCTTGTAGAGAATTTATCATACGTTGACTCTGAAGTTCAGTCAAGCTATTAGAAATACCTGAATGGTTCTCTTTAAAGTATGCACTTTGCCAAACATTTAAAATTCCTGGATTCATTAAAATACAGTACCATTAGAATGTAAGATGGTGTAAGGTCTCTGGAAAGTTTGTTCTTTATTTTAATGAAGAAAAGCTTTCACCCATAGCTCTAGAGCAGTTGAGAATAAAAATGCTGGTAGTGCCTGGATTTGCTGGTGTACAGTAACAATAGCAAGTATTTCAACTGCTTGTGATCTAGTCCAGAGCCTTCCCACCACTGGCTTGGATCTCAGCTGTGAAGATTTCTGCAAACAAGAACCTGTCCAATTGTGTTGCCTCTCCGTGTAGTAGTTGGAAAGCACAGTGTTTCCAGAATGGAATAACAGCAGCTGCCCCTGGCTAATGCTGCAGTGCACTTTCCTGATAGAGCTGGGAATAGACTGGGAAAAAGTGGCTTCTGCAAAGTGGCAGTGACTCCTCAGCTCCCCAGTACCCTTCCAGCTGTCTCCAGCTGGCACTGGTATAGCAATGTACTCCTGTTTATATAGATATATAAATATACACTTGGTGTGAAGATGTGTGCACACACGTGTGCATATCCACATGCACACCATACATCTATCAATATATCTTGTCATTTCACCTACTAGGAAAGAGATTTGCAAATACCTCTGTATTTAGTCAATTTTCAACTTCATAATGATGACAATGTACAGCATATAGCTTATGTATGAATACATATGGGGGTTAAGCCTAACTGGGTAATTCTGTTACTTTTGGTTCTAAACATGAATTTGTTTATCTGTTCCTGAATACTTTTCTCACAGGAGTAATAAACTACACATTATTTTTGCACTGTGTGTGTGAGTTGGACAGTAAATGATGACTTTTGCCCTCTGGTATGTGTCTGGACTTCCCTTTGTCATTGGTGGAGGGCAGCAGGTGGTCTCCTGGCAGAACTTGTTTCTGTATCCTGTTTGCCCTGTTTTGAATTGTTACTTCCTTTGGTTATGTCTCATTTCCAACCCAGAGAGTAATTAGATGTATTTTAAGGTCAAAACCTGATGACTGCTTTGAAGCTATGTCACAAATTAAATTATTTCATAAGCAATTACTGAAATACAAATGACTTCTGAAACAGTTACATCCTGCCCCAGCTTGCTCTTTGGTTAAGGCTATGTTTATTTCTGCTTACTATTAGCATTTATGGAAATGTTTTTGGTGAAAAAAAACATGCCTTCCCTATGACTGTCTCTGCCATGTGTTGTCATACCTATTTTAGCACATCTTTTCTATTATCTAGCTCTGTTTCAGAGCTTCATCCCACCTGCATTCACTCTTTTCCATAATAAAACAGCAAAACCTGCCCTACTTGCATTTGCTCAAGCAGCTGACGTGTATTTTAAATGTATTTTAGATCCATTGATCACTGTAACAGAGTGAGCCCCTGGTAACACAGGATTTTATTTTCCAAAGTAAAACTCCCCTGTTTAGGTCAAAATTAGGCTGTGCATTTAGGCCAGTGCAATTATTTTTTTCCCTCCATGGATTAAAATTGTCTTAGTCTACCCAAAAGTAGTAAAAGTCAAGAGAAATCAAGCAGCCAGTTTTAGCCATCTGTATTCCAACTAAAGACATCTTAACCTGAGTCTACACTAAGAAAGAAAATCAATAAATAAATGTTTTCAAGAGTAGAGTTGGTTAAAATACGTTAATCCTCTTTGACCTCCTTATCTTCCCATACCCTTCATCCACATATACACACCTTCCTCCTCTTGGTGTATTGCTGATCAAAACTCAGAATTAGATCTGGGCAAGAATCACAGCAAATACCAACCAAGTTTCACTTTAGTGACACAATCTTGCTAGGAGACCACAGATGGAGTGTGCTTGACCCACCTTAAAGCAGCCAGACGGACCAGATGTGGCCTGAAGTTCCTACATTTACTGATTTTTGTGAAATTACTCAACTAAAGTACCTATATTAACCTATTTTTTAGCCTAGAACTACCTTCCTAGAGTACAAAACTAGGAGAGAAACAGAACAAGGTTCTTAACCTGCATTTTCTTATTTTTAATGCTATTTTCAGAACACTCTTGAAGTGGTTTTCACTTCTCTTTAACTGGAGTTTATATGCTGTTTGGACTGCTGAGATCTTCCCAAGTGGACATACTGACCAGAATGCCATGAAAGATGCTGGCAGGATTGTTTCCTCAATATCAGCCGGGGAACATTTTCTTCCTATTAAGGTATTTTACAGATTATGGGAGAAAATGGCATGAAGAAAAGCTAATGCCTTTATCCGAGATAACCATTCCTGTTGCTGTTGGGTGAAGCTTCTCAAGTTGAAACAAAAAGCCATGTTAGCAGCAACTCCAGTAAGTTCAGAGTCAGGAAGAAGTATGCAAATATTAGAGAAGGAAACATTCTGTAAAAATGAGGGCAACAGCTGAAGTTACAGCTTTAGAATGAAGAATCGATGAGTAACGAGGCTATCACACAATTTTAGATGCAAGTCATGCTTGGTGTGTCCTTCAAGACATACTGGGGTTTTTTTTGTGGTAAAATTTGGCTCCAGAGCAAGTGATTGTACATAAATATGCATACTGGGTCCTCTTATAGTTCCTTATCAGGAATTGCAAGAGGAGATCAGAGTGTTCCAGGAAAACAAGGGTATACATCCTGTATTTGTTAAAATGTTAACATAATCCTAGAGGCTATTTGTAGAGTCTAGAAACTTTTTAATTTCACATAATCACAGAATGGTGGGGGTTAGAAGGGATCTCT